GGGCACCACGACGGGCGCCACGGAAGGGAAAACTGCCAGGCGCCCCGAGCGCGCGGCAAGCAGAAATTAGGGTTTCGCCGCCGCGCACCACGGGGCGCGAGGCGGACAGTACGGCAGCGGAAGCGGGTGGTGGGCCCATACACAGGAAGGCGGCAGACATGCCGCCCTCTGATACCATATCAAATATAGGAGGAGTACGGCCTAGGCTTAGTAGCCTAGGCCACAGTAGGACTAGAACGAGGAGGCGCCAAGTACGAGCTAGGATTGTGTGCAGGAACAGAATTGAGAAGGAATGGTTGAACTAGCAAGCAGCAGGATACAAATAGCAAACCCTAAGGGGCTGTACTCACTATTGAGTGCCCCACTGCAGGCTACACAAACAACATATTCTGACAGCTCTGTCAGACGAGCGTCGTTGAGTGACGTGCGTATCCAGCTCTTGATGACGTTCTGCCTGCTGAACCCACGTTCGCACTCAACAGTGCTGAGCGGTAGCACGGACAACGCCTGCCACATCAGCATCAGGTTGGGGTACGTGCGAGCCCAGTCGCGTGTCTTCAGCATGTTTTGGAGCCCCTGATGAAAGTCCTCGTCCTCGTGGTGGTTCTTGAGGATGTGGCAGAACGTCTTCAGCTCGAGCTCTGCTGCCCGCAAGTCGAAACCTGCGCGCAGGGACAAATTTGGGTTTTAAACTGAAATAATTTACTGATAGCAGAGCTTAGCCAAACAACACCAGACATGCGCAACTGACAAAGTGTTCTAGATTCTCACCGGGCAGACAGTTGTTGAACAGCACAGAGTTTTGCCGAAGCCACATGAGGCAGCGCCGCTCGCGTGTGTCGAGGTTGGGGGGCCACGATTCCACCTTGAACAGCCTCGTCCCGCCCATGCGACGAAGATCCGCCATCCGCTCGGTGAGATTATGGACGGTCTGCTTGGCGAATGCCTTGCACATCTTCTCGCAGTCGCGCATTGTTCCGCCAAACTTGTGGCCAGCGATGGGCGCCTCGCTTAGAACAATCTCCTGGCTCACTGCGCGGCCGTTGGAGTCCACGCCCTCCACTTTCAGCTCACGCTTGCCATCCTTGTGGCGCTCCAGGAAAGGCGACAGCTGTGGGCTAAGGCCCTCCCCGAACTTCGTCTCGTAGTCGATGTAGCGGTGTTGGATGTACGACACCGTGCGGTCCACCTCCTGCGCCACGATTGTGACGTCCACCTGGGCGGAGGGCGGGAGGGTTTGAGATAATACAGCCAAACATAATAAGTTCACATTACAGAGTAAACAAACGTGTAAACCACCAGGCAGAAGTGGGAAACAGCGTCGAGATAATACTGCATAACATTACCTTTCGCCTCTGGAAAAACCGGTTCAGATTGTTGAGCTCGGCCAAGATGTCTGCCAGAAAATAAACGCAGAAGTGAAACTTCAATGTCTGCACGGTGCTGGCTATCTTGTGCTCGTACTCGATGAAGACGCAGATCGCCGCCCCAAGAACCCGGCACATCCGCAGCACTGCCTCGCCCCGTGCCAGCCAGCGCACGTTGTGGAGCCCCTGGTGCTCTAGATTGGTCTTGTGGTACACCTGCTGCAACTCCTTGAACCGCTCATACCAGGGAGTTGACTTCCCGACGATCGACCCGAGGGCCCTGATGGCGTCGTCCACGATGTTGAAGTCTGGATAGGCCTCTGCTGCATTCTTGACAGCTAACGCTTCTCTGCACGGTAGGGAACAGGGGGTTGCAGAGTAGGATATGTAAACCACAAAAAGAAAGTCACATAGACTCAGAGAGATGTTTTACCGTGTTAAAATACCAAAAACATTTTGGAATAATAACACACCTGTGCGCGATGCAGTGGCACCCGACGAGATGCGCACTCTGCATGCGAAGGCGCGTCACAAGCCCAGTTTCCGATCCGACCATGACAGAGGCGCCGTCTGTTGACATCCCAACAATTTTCTGAAGGTCGATGCCGATGGTCTCCAGATGTTGGAGCAGAACGGCATGCAGCGACGCCGCGTCACATTGAGTGACGGTAAGGAGCGTCAAGAACTCCGTTACCACCACGCGGTCCTTCAGGAAAGTGACAAACACAATCATGTGTTTGCCACGAGCGCGGTCTGTGCTCTCGTCGCACATGATGCCAATGTATGGCGACGAGTGCACGTGTCGCATTTGCTCGCGGTGAAGGAAAGTGGTTAAAGCCTTTACCATTTCCGAAAAGCCGTACCTGGCCACAACCAGCGGTTCGTTGTTAGTGCATATTGAAAAAAAAAAGGAAAATCAAGGAGTACGGGGTTCAACATCAAGTGAGACTCACTGTGTGATGTACACGCCGTAAGACTGTCGCGGTATGTCGGCGACGCCCTCCTCAGCAAGAAACTGCACGAGCCTGGGGTACATCTGAATCGGTGTGTCCGTCTTGCACACAAACACGATGCTCCGCATTAGCCGCGAAATCCGCGCGCCCTCCGGATCGCCCTTCGCAAAGTCATCGATGCGTTTCTGCTCCTCGATGTTCTTCATCAGACCCATTTGCTTCTTCATGGCATCGTCGTGCTTCACGCTCTCCTCGTGCCAGCGAAAGGACCCAATCTGGAGGTCCCGACCTCCTTTCCCATTGCGGCCGTAGCGAGCATCGTCCTTCCCGTGCTCTATACAGACACTGCAGCGAACACAAGGGAAACCGTCAGTCGATTTATCAAGGATTAACCATGGGAACCGCGGAAGCCATTCCGACGTGTAGCTTTTCTGGGCCTTCAAATATAACTTCTCCTTCTTCTCCTCTGCGGTGAGTCGGACTACAGGTGTTGTTTTCTTGGCAGGTGGCGGCGGAGTCGGTGCAGGCTTAACGGGCTGCAGACCAATCCCGAGCACGGACTGCGTGAAGCGCCGCTTCTTCGGCGTCTGTGAGGCGGTCGAGTCTGGAACAGACGCATCCACGACCTGTGTTGGTGCTGTCTCGGCCGGTTCAGCGATGCTTGGGTGGTGCGATCCATCGCACACCTCGTTCTGTCCGTCGTGGTCTTCATCTTCTTGGCGTGGCGAGCGAACCCACACCTCGACCCCATCGGAATGCTCGTCGTCGTCCGGTCCATCCCGACGATACCAATCGTCGCCTCCCCAGTAGTCACCACCGCCATCTTGCTGGTCGCCGGCGTGCTCGTGGGAACGATGTACCCTGCGCAGAAACTCCATACCTGTGATGGGGCGAGAGCTGCATGACGGGCCGGGATCAGGATCAGGCGCAGCAGTGTCAGCGTGGTCTGCGTCGTTAGCCAACTGTGGCAAGGCTGCAGGAGAAGGGTGGCTTGAGGCGTGGTAGTGATGCTGGGTACCTTAAGCCTGATCACGGATTGTGGAAATGGATGGAGAAACACGGGTTCACCCCCCGGTGAGCCAGCCGAGCACTAGCAGGGCTTGGCCGCGTCGCCCACGTTTACACCTTCCGTGCGCTGTATCATTCCTTGATCCTGACTGAAGTTCAGATGTGTAACAGTGTGCGCTGGCTGGGAAAACTGCCACTCCAGCCAATCAGCTCGCAAAATGCCGCCAACACACGAAGCGAATCTTGATGAAGTGCTCGGCGACTCGGTTTAACCCCGGTAATTGGGGAAAGGGGGGGGGGGGGGGGGGGGGGGGGGGGGGAGGGGGGGGGGGCTAGGGGGCCTGTATCCTCTGTACAGAGTAAACACCATCCTTAGAAAAAAAACCCTGGGGCCTCAGAGTGAACTATATCTCAACTCTGATACATCAGAGAAAACACAACTCCCAAAATCATAACCCAGCAGGTACAGAGTCCCTCTAAAAAACAACTCTGATTTTCAGAGAAACAGAGTGATTTACTCTGATAACGTGGGCCCTGCTCAACACCCCCATTTTCACTCTTTTTAACTTTCGAGGACCTACTGGTTGCGCATCCAGTCAGTATGAGTTGGCACGCGGGCAAAATGACGTGCCAAAGCTCTGTGCACCGTCAGAAAATCGCCCTTGCGCGATTCTGATTCTGGACCCTGTAAAATTTCGATTCGATCCAACTTATGAGACTTAAATGTACAATTTGGTGCGTTTAAGTTGTATTTCTGTATTTGTCGTTATATAAGCGCCGGCGCTTATGGCCGATATTCAATTACAAGCGCCCCCCTGAAAAAAAACTGATTTTATTATAAGCGCATATGCGCTACTATCCGGGGTAATACGGTATCAGTGCAGGCCCTAAATTTCGCCCTTATAATCAGTATAGCAGTGTAAATTACACTGATAAAATAGACCCTGCCGGTAGCTGCATTTTCTCATTTAGGACCATTTAGATTTCAGGTTGCTCCATTTAGGACCCTTCTATGCCCGACTCTTGCTGCTGCCGTCTCTCCTCTTCTTCCCCTGCCGTAAAAGCAGCCCGAGGAAAACGAAGAAAATGGCAAGGGGAGGAAAAGGTGGTGGAAACAAAGCACAAACTCTTAAAGTAGCCTAGGAATCAATGTCGAGAGAATTGTTGAGTGAGGAAGAGAAACGAGATACAAGTGTCGACCTAGAAAGTGTTGTACCCTTTAGAGGGCAACTCACTGTAGCCCAGAATAACTAACAATATCTAGATGATATAAACATTTCACACAAACCAGGTTAGAGTGTAGACCAGACACACAAGCAGCAGAACAGAGGGAGGTACTATCGGTACAAGCAGCAGGGAGCAGGGAAGCAAATAGACAATATTGAACGATTCAACAACACAAGATCCAACAGAGAGGTGCACAAGTAGCACATACTCTTGAGTTCGATCAGACGGTCCAGCAAGGAATTTCGAGGAGTGGGAAGGAGTGGCAAGGAGTTTCAAGGAGTGGCAAGCGCAGCACATACTCATTAGTTCAATCATGGCTCGCTACGTCCGTCTCTCCAGCTTGGCTAGCCGCTTTGCCACAGGCTCAAATGTAACAGAGCAAAAGAATTGCAAAAGCAGAGCAGGCAGTCTCAAACCCATATGAAGAGGCAAGCGCAGCACATACTCATGAGTTCGATCATCGCTCGCTGCGTCCGTCTCTCCAGCTTCGCTAGCCGCTTCGCCACATCCCGCCGTAAGTCCCAGTTGGGCTTGCGAGGAGCAATGGCTGTTACTGGGTCCTGATGGGTTTAGATAGCAAAGTGATGGAGGGAAAAGGATGGGAGCAGCAGGAGGGAGAGAGAAATAATGGGAGCAGCAGGATGAGTGCATCTCTCCAGCTTGGCCACTCGCTTCGCCACGTCCCGCCGTAAGTCCCAGTTGGGCTTGCGGGGAGCGATGGCTGTTACTGGGTCCTGGTGGGATGGAGAAACGTGGAGGGAGGGAGGGAGCAACGCGATGAGGGAGGGAGAAGAATGAGCAGAGTGAGCAGAATGAGAAGAATGAGCAGAGTGAGCAGAATGAGAAGAATGAGCAGAGTGAGCAGAGTGAGGTGCACCAAACTACTCAGTATATCGCTTCGCCACGTCACGTCCCGCCGAACTGGTCCCAGTTGGGGTTTTGAGGAGCGATGGCTGTTACTGGGTCCTGGGTGGGAAGGAGGGAGCACAGTGATGGAGAGAGGGGGAGCAGAATGAGCAGAGTGAGGAGCACCAATCTACATGGTTCATTTGCCTTTGCCACGTCCCGCCGAACTGGTCCCAGTTGGGCTTGCGGGGAGCGATGGCTGTCCTTGGTTCCTGGGTGGGAAGGAAGGAGCAACGTGATGCAGGGAGGGAGCAACGTGATGCTCCTTCAACCTCAAAAGCAATAGCAAGGCCCCTTTCATCCCCCTTCCTCCTCCTCCACCTCCTTCAACCTCCACAACCCCTCACCCCCACCAATGAGTTTTCCCTAGTTTTCATAGAACTGTCCCCAACTCACCTCGTTGGGGTCTAAGAATAGTGGCTGGGCGGCGGTAGGTTCCTGAAAACCTAAGATCGTCTCATTTCCTAGGCGTGCACTTGTGCTGGTTTTTTCACAAACAACTCAAGATACCTCGTTGGGGTCTAAGAACAGTGGCTGGGCGGCGGTAGGTTCCTGGAACTTGGGAGGACTGGCCAACGCACCTCACTTCCTTCAAACTCCTACCAATCATTCCAACTTAACTTACCTCGTTGGGGTCTAAGAATAGTGGCTGGGCGGCGGTAGGTTCCTGGAACTTGGGGAGCTGCGCTGGAGGAAGCTTCCTCTCCATCAGCTGGTCGTCCCGAGGCAAGTAGCTTCGGAACCGAACCTCCGCTGCAGGCTCGTTCTCCCTGCACAGCAACCGGAGGATTAGAAAGGGGTAGAGAGAGAGACACACACAGAGCTACGAGGTTGGGCATTGGCCAGTAAGTCATGACAGATTTGCGAATAAAAGTGATACAAGCAGAGGGGGGAAAGGCGGGGCGGGGAAGGTGGGTGGTTGGGAAGGGGGGGAGACACACAAAGCTACGAGGTTGGGCATTTACCAGGAAAGCCATGACAGATTTGCAAATAGGAATTATACAAGCAGAGGGGGGGGAGGGGGGGGGGCGGGGGGGGTGGGTGGTTGGGAAGGGGTAGAGAGAGAGACACACACGAGCTTGGGCATTGATCGGGAAAAACATGACAGGTTAGCAAGTGAAAGTGATACGAGCGAAAGGGGGGGGGGAGGGTTCGGAAGGGGGAGAGAGACACACACGGAGCTACGAGCTTGGGCATTGACCAGGAAATTCATGACAGATTTGCGAATAAAGGTGATACAAGCAGAGAGGGGGGGGGGGAGAGGGGGGAGTGGGGGGGGAGGGGGAGGGGAGGAGGGGGGGGGGGGGGGGGGAGGGGGGGAAGAAGGAATTGCTACGAGCTTGGGGATTGAACAGAAAAATTCCCACAGTGTCTAAAACGCACGACGACTCGAAAAAACAAGGAGTGCGGGGAATGGGGGGGCGAACATGACGTTCTGACGCAAGAGCGGCATGGCTTGCGCGGCAAATCCCCGACCATTTGACGCCTCTCCCTCCCATCCCCCTCCCCCCCCACCCCCCTTCGCCTCCCCCTCCCACAATCCCTCGCCCTTTCCTCCCTTTCCCTGCCCTCCCCCCTCTTTCGTCTCCCTCACCCTTTCCCCATTTCCCCCTTCCCTCCCCCCCCCCCCCCCCCCCCCCTCCCCCCCCCCCCCCCCCCCCCCCCCCCCCCCCCCCCCCCCCCCCCCCCCCCCCCCCCCCCCCTCCCGCTTGAATAAACGCACTTTCCATCGTCGCCGTCTGCTAGCAGGCTAGCCGTATTCTCGCCGTCTGTCGTGACGATCGACGCCGCTTCCCGTAACGCTCGCAGCCGCTCTTTCCGCTCCCGCGCCGCCTCCTCCAGCTCCATCCCTCCCCGCCGCGCGAATTGATCGGATTACTAGCGCACGGCGTGCAACTAACAGGAGGGACACTAACGAACGGAACTAACAGCAGAGATTGAAATTCAAGCTGAAAATAAATCAAACGCCTGGCGAGCAACTAAAGGAAGGCTCACTTATCAACGAACTAACAGTTGCCGTGTTTTTAGAACTCTAAAAAGACGCCTACAAATCTAAATCCAGGCAGAAATGAGACCAAACGCCCGGCGAGCAATGATTGGTTCTACGAAACCCTAAATCGAAGAAAGTTCGGGCGCGGCAACTAGCAAATGTATCTAATTTGGACTATCACTGTACGCTAAGTCGTCAGTTCAGGCGACACGGGAAGTCTGTGGTTCGGTTGGGCGTTTTGCTCCGGAGGGTGGCTATTTTGTATTTTGAGAACGGTTCAGTAGGATTTGAGAAAAACAATAAGCCTAACGTTATATTACAAGCTGGAGATTATATTTCAATACCTTCGTAAGCTACTCTCTGTTCCCTACGTTATATTCCTCTTAGGTCTATGCCTCCGAGTTCACTATTTAAAAACCGTTTCATTCACAGTATCTCTCCTTTTAGCATGCCATTGCCACACATGAGAACATTCAGATATGCTGTTTTTTAAGAGTAATATCGACTATTCAAGGTGACGCATTCAACACCCAGCCTAGAGCAAGGATAGTCGTAGTACCTTTCCACGCCAGCCTAATAGCCCCATCCTCTAGCAACAACCCGAACCCAAGAGGAAACCGCTTCAGCATACTATGCATAGCCTCGGTAACAGCTCCGGGGATCTGCTTCGGCGCAAACCCGAGCCTGAGCATCCTTCCTCGCCATTGGTCCAGAGTCTCGGGCCGATGCACCCTCTCCACGCCTTCACAAGAAACAATATTCACCATCGCAGGCGTTTGTCAGCGGCGCCGATAAGAGCGTCGTGGGAGCAGAAGACGGAGAAATGGTGGTCGAGAACGTGTTGGAATCGGGAGAGGAAGGGGCGGGCGTTGGAATCTAGGTCCATCTCCACAAACGTAAAGAGCGCGGGCTTTAAGTCGTGGATCCACTGAGGGGTGGTGAGAGGGGGGAGGGGACAGGGAAGAGAGGGAGGGGGGTGAGAGAAAGTGCGTTTTTGTGCAACCAGCATAACACAACACCTCAAGGCGGGGAAAGAGACAGCAGCGCCGATAAGTGCGTCGTGGGAGCAGAAGACGGAGAGATGGTGGTCGAGAACGTGTTGGAAGCGGAAGAGGAAGGGGCGGGCGTTGGAATCGAGATCCATCTCGACAAACGTGAAGAGCGCGGGCTGTAAGTCGTGGATCCACTGGTGGGTAGTGAGGGGGAGGAGGTGACGGGGAAGAGAGGTGGGGGGGGGGGGGGGGGGGGGGGGGGGTTGACAGAAGGAGCCATTCCATGGAACCAACACAGCACCTCAAGGCGGGGCTTTAAGTCGTGGATTCACTGGGGGGTGAACGGGGGTAGGGGATGCAATAAGGGGCTTAAAGGTAGGAAGGAGATGCGATATGGGGACATGATTTGGAACTGAATCACATGGTTCACAGAAGCATCACTTGGATGGTTCAGAATAAGGGCTATTCACCCTGAGAATGCAGTCTCTCGGCCCATGATCCACAACAGAGTCGTCTGGAAAATTCATGAGCTCGAGATGCACTGCCTCTGTTCCAAGACTAGTTACCCATTATGTGCTGATTTATAAGAGCTAGGAGCTGCTTACCCTGAGAATGCAGTCTCTAGGCCCATGATCCACAACAGAGTCATCTGGAAAGTTCATGAGCTCGAGATGTGCGCACACCACCAGAGTCTCACTCCACCTCCTCTTCACCTGGAGGGGAGTGTGTGTGGGAAAGGGAGAGAGAGTGGAGAGCGGAAGGAGAAGAAGAGTAGGACAGTGTATGAGCTCGAAATGTGCACACACCTCCTCTTTACCTGCAGAGGAGAGGGGAAGGGGAGAGAGAGGTGAGAGTGACGTGAGGGAGGAGGAGGAGAGAGGAGGCCATAAGCTCGAGATGTGCACAGGCCACTAGGGTCTCACTCCACCTTGACCTGGATGGGATGGGCAGAGAGGAGTGGGGAAAGAAGAGAATGAGGGAGGGGAAAGAGGAAGAAGAGAAAGGAGGGAATGAGCTCGAGATGTGCGCAGGCCACTAGTGTCTCACTCCACCCCCTCTTGACCTGCAGAGTAGAGAAAAGGAGGGGAAGAGGTCTGGAAAAGAAGGAAATGGAGGAAGGAAGAGCATGAGTTTGAGTTGTGCGCATACTTCGAAGATGTGAACCTACCAGATACAGAAGGTGCAGCTGATTCTCGTCAAAATCAATATACTCAAAGTCGAAGGGCACTCCCAGCCGCATAGCCATCCCCCTCAGCCTCCTCCCCACCTCCGCCACCGCCCTGAGGCTCTTAAAATCCTTCCCTCCTTGATCCGACCCAAATAGGGAACTGACACACATACTGGATAGAGCAGAGACCGACACGCACACTGGAGATAGCAGGGGTAATGGTAATCCACACACTCACTCACCTGGTACAGAAGGTGCAGCTGATTCTCGTCAATATCAATATACTCAAACTCAAAAGGCAATCCCAGCCGCATCGCCGTCCCTTTTAGCCTCCTCCCCACCTCTGCCACCGCCCTACTCTTAAAATCCTTCCGCCCCGGGCAGACGAAAGTCGTCGTGTCCAACCCCGTGACGCGGAGGTGCGGCGGGCCGCCCGGGCGGGAAGCTAAAAGTTCCATGATTGTGGGCAGGTGGAAGGGCAGGAGTTCTCCAAAGTCGATGAGGTGGACGTGGGAGGCGGAGGAGACGGCATGCAGAGCAGCACAGCACAGGGAGGGTGTGGATGGGAGGGATGCGGTAGAGAGGGATGGGCATGGGTTATGAGTGAATGGGAGCAGACGAGCCTATTATGAGGCAGCTGAGAGAAGAGGAGCTCGGACTCATTGTTTAGTGCCTGCACTGCTGGGAGGAACAGCATGTTGGTCTGCTGAGAGGTCATCTCTGCAGCACGCATGGTTGGAGAGGGTGTGGATGGGTGGCGGGAGGTAGAGAGGGATGAACATGGGTATTGAATGAATGGAGGGCAGAGGAGGTTCCTATGACCCCTGGGAGCTGCAACTGTACCTTGTGTGCGTGAATGGCAAGAATTAACGTGCACACGCGTGCTCACTTAACACCTGTGTTCACAGCATGACCCCACTGCATCTATGTGTTCACAGCATGACCCCACTGCATCTATGTGTTCACAGCATGACCCCACTGCATCTATGTGTTCACAGCATGACCCCACTGCATCTATGTGTTCACAGCATGACCCCACTGCATCTATGTGTTCACAGCATGACCCCACTGCATCTATGTGTTCACAGCATGACCCCACTGCATCTATGTGTTCACAGCATGACCCCACTGCATCTATGTGTTCACAGCATGACCCCACTGCATCTATGTGTTCACAGCATGACCCCACTGCATCTATGCGTTCACAGCATGACCCCACTGCATCTATGTGCTCACAGCACGACCCCACTCTACCTGTGTGCTCACAGCACGACCCCACTCTACCTGTGTGCTCACAGCACGACCCCACTCTACCTGTGTGCTCACAGCACGACCCCACTCTACCTGTGTGCTCACAGCACGACCCCACTCTACCTGTGTGTACGCGGTGGGCCCATGGAGAAGTTGAAAACAGTAGGCCAGGATGTTACGTGCTCTGTACCATGTCGAGAATGAAGATTAGGGGCCTAGGGTTTGACCTAGGCGAGAGTGACGAGAAGAAAAGTGGCGAGGGAAAATGCAAGCCAAAAGAGGGGTTCAATAGTAGAGGGCATACAATATATAGGCAAGGAATTAGGCAAATGGTACACCACATAGCAGGAAACTAAGATAACTACACTAGACTACTGTAGGCATTTATATGAATGTAAACAAATACATTTCAACATTACCTTCACATCACATCCCTTCACCTCCATTACCTCCCTTTCCCTTACTTCGTCTGGTCACAACATCAGCGGCCACTAACCTCACCACCACGTCCGTTCTCCATCGGACCGCTCATTCAATAAGGCTAATCACACAAGACTTGTAAATGTAATGTTGGAAGGTACACCACCTTGCTTCCCTTTACTTCCCCTTATTTCGTCTGGCCACAATGTCAGCGGCCACCAACCTCCCCACGTCCGTTTGCCATCGTTCTGCACACACAATAAGATCACCCGCAATAAATATATTAGCAGAGGAATTTTGAGGCGCCTCAAAAGCACACACAATGAGGCCATTCGCAAAAAAATCATCAATAGAGTTGGTTGGAAGGTACTTCTCCTTGCCTCCACCAAACCCCCATCCCTTTCCACCCACTTCCCCCTCACCCTTCTCACCCCTACACCCTCCCAAACCCCATTCTCGCCTCTCCCCTTCCCAGACCCCTCCCCCTCCTCCCCCGCATACCCTCCAACCCCTCTCTCCCGCCTTTCCCCCCTTTCCCCACCCCCTCCACCGCCCCCCTCCCCCCGCTTCCCCCTCCCTTCCCCCCCCCTCATGCTCCATGCCTTTTGAGGCGCCTCAAAACTGAGATTCTATGTGAACTAGTCAATGTACCTTTTGTTGACTCAAATAATTCTTAAAGCTCCATGCCTTGGGTTGCGCAGCAGCACATGAAGCACATGCCAACCCGCACCCCCCCACCCCCCCCCCCCACTCCCCCCCTCCTCCCCCCCCCCCCCTCCAGCTTGCACACTCAGCTTAAATGTGAACTAATCAGTGTACCTTTCGTTGAGTAGAAGAATTCTTGAAGCTCCATGCCTTGAGCTACGCAGCAGCACATGAAGCACATGCCAACCCGTCCCCTCCCCCCCCCCCCCCCAACTCGAGCTTGCACACTCAGATTGAATGTGAATTAATCAATGTACCTTTTGTTGAGTCAAAGAACTCTTGAAGCTCCATGCCTTGGGCTATGCAGCAGAATGCAAAGAACATGGTGCAAGGGTGAAGGGGAAAACAACGAGGAATGAGTGTACATGATGGGCTATGGAAAAGCACGGGAAGCACACGATGCAACTTCTGAGATGGCTCGAAAGATGCATTTGAGTGCATTTGGATGCAAGGAAAAAAAAAAAAAAAAAAAAAAGTAAAAGTGATCTGAGCGTATTCAGTAAAAGGTTGCACTTGGAAGAAAGTGATGTGATTGTACATACATTGCATGAAGGTAAAAGGAAAGAAAAGCGGCATGTGTGGAGATGGCAGAAGGGTTGTGACGGTGAAAAAAACGGGATGCCAGAGAACATGACAAAAAGGTTGAGTGTGAAGGGCGGGAAAAAAAAAAAAAAGTGCGAACCATTGGGACAGAGACACCTCAGGAGGCAACAACACCACAGGAAAGATGACAGAGGGGTTGTGTGCGTGGTGGGTGGGAGGAAAAGCGGGAAGTGTGACTCTTGAGGGGGGAGAAAGAGGATTGTTAGGAGGAAGGCAAGGAGGATCCATGATTATATACTTGATATTATCTGCTCGTGTACAGCTCACCTTGCTCGTACTCATGTGCTTGCATAATCATCTCCAGCTGGTGTTTGGGAAAAAAGAGTATCATGTGTGAGGATAGGTAAGTTGGAAACAGCAAAGAAGAACAAAAACGGGGAGAAATGGAGGGAGAGTTTTGAGCTGATCTAACATCGGCTTGTACTCATGTGCTTGCAAAACCATCTCTAGGCACATGACAGAATTTCATGGTGATTGGGAAGATAGAGTTTCACGTGTGAGGATGGGCAAGTTGCAAAAGGCAAAGAAGAAGAAGAAAAAAGGGAGATAAATGAAGAGACGTGAATACGTGATTATGTTCGGTCACTTTTGAAAGAATCACAAAAGACATGTAACACAGGTCAAGGAAGTGTGTGTGTGTGTGTGTGTGTGTGTGTGTGTGTGTGTGTGTGTGTGTGTGTGAGTGTGTGTGTGTGTGTGTGTGTGTGTGTGTGTGTGTGTCACACATCTGACACTCAACTCACAAATCCTACTCAACTCACCTGCTGCCTTGAGGTTTGATCGCAGAGTGTCACACATCTGCGCCTCCCTCCCCATGCGATGCACTTGATACAGATGCAGATGGTGTTTACTGCTTCAGCTGCTCCTCTCATCCCAACTCACCTGCTGCTTTGCGGTTGGGCCCTAGGCCATCACACATCTGTCCCAGAGCCTCCCTCTCCATTTGATGCTTCTCCTCCTTGCCCACTGAAATGTATTTTGAGGTGCTTCTCCTCCTTGCCCACTCCGCACGAAACAGATGAAAGCGCCCTTCCTATCCCTCACCTGCCGCCTTGCGGTTGGGGCCTAGGGCACCACACATCTTCTCAAGAGCATCCTTTTCCATTTGATGCTTCTCCTCCTTGCCCACTCCGCACGACGGCGTGATATCACCCGCTATTGCTGCAAGGAAGAGAGGGGGAGGAGGGGGATGAAGGGGCAATCATCAGCCAGTCAGCAGTCTGCCTGCTGCTGCTGGAAAGGAGAGGGGAAGAGAGCAGCACACATCTGCCTCAGAGCATCCTTTTCCATTTGATGCTTCTCCTCCTTGTCCACTCCGCACGACGGCGTGATGTCCCCCGCTATTGCTGCAAGGAAGAGAGGGGGAGGAGGGGGATGAAGGGGCAATCATCAGCCAGTCAGCAGTCTGCCTGCTGCTGCTGGAAAGGAGAGGGGAAGAGAGCAGCACACATCTGCCTCAGAGCATCCTTTTCCATTTGGTGCTTCTCCTCCTTGCCCACTCCGCACGACGGCGTGATATCACCCGCTATTGCTGCAAGGAAGAGAGGGGGAGGAGGGGGATGAAGGGGCAATCATGAGCCAGTCACCAGTCTGCCTGCTGCTGCTGGAAAGGAGAGGGGAAGAGAGCAGCACACATCTGCCTCAGAGCATCCTTTTCCATTTGGTGCTTCTCCTCCTTGCCCACTCCGCACGACGGCGTGATATCACCCGCTATTGCTGCAAGGAAGAGAGGGGGAGGAGGGGGATGAAGGGGCAATCATCAGCCAGTCACCAGTCTGCCTGCTGCTGCTGGAAAGGAGAGGGGAAGAGAGCAGCACACATCTGCCTCAGAGCATCCTTTTCCATTTGATGCTTCTCCTCCTTGCCCACTCCGCACGACGGCGTGATATCACCTGCTATTGCTGCAAGGAAGAGAGGGGGAGGAGGGGGATGAAGGGGCAATCATCAGCCAGTCACCAGTCTGCCTGCTGCTGCTGGAAAGGAGAGGGGAAGAGAGCAGCACACATCTGCCTCATAGCATCCTTTTCCATTTGATGCTTCTCCTCCTTGCCCACTCCGCACGACGGAGGAAAGGAAGAGAAGAAAAGATTGCGTCTCCTCCTGTCCTTACCCACTCTGCATAACGGCGTGATGTCACCCGCTATTGCTGAGGGGAGGAGGGGGGTGTGTGGGGAGAGGAGGTGTGGGATAGAGGAATTGTGAAAGGAGCGGAGGTGTGAGGAGGAGAGGAGGGGCGGGAGGAGAGGAGGCAATTCTCTGGAAGAGAGAGCACTTGGAGGGTTGAGGACAGGTGGAAAACGGTTGAAGGCAAATGCAGAGAGGTTGAGAGCGTACTTTCTGCCACGTCATGCACAATTGCAATCTTGATGCGAAATGTCACAGTAGCATTTGAACCTCACAACATCGAGAGCGGCTGAAGGGATTGAGGACAGGTGCAGAGGGGTTGAGAGCGTACCTTCTGCCACGTCATGCACAATTGCCATCTTGATGCGAAATGTCACAGTAGCATTTGAACCTCACAACATCGAGAGCGGCTGAAGGGATTGAGGACAGGTGCAGAGGGGTTGAGAGCGTACCTTCTGCCACGTCATGCACAATTGCCATCTTGATGCATCTGTGGTGTGTGACACAAAGCAGCACACAGACACACACAAAGACCATACTTATTCCTGCGCTTTCCAAAGCTCGATTCCCACTGAACCCACAATTGACTGCTATCCCCTACCCTATCCTCCCAAGCTCGCTTCCCACTGAACCCTATCCCATCCCTCTCCCGCCCCTCTCCACCCACTCAACCCCCCTCTCCCCTCGAACTCACCCATCAGCACCATGCGGTGCATGTGGTCGTCGATCGACTCGTTCCCCTGCACTCCCCGTGCCCCTGCACTCCCCGTGCCCCTGCACTCCCCGTGCCCCTGCACTCCCCGTGCCCCTGCACTCCCCGTTCCCCTGCACTCCCCGTGCCCCTGCACTCCCCGTGCCCCTGCACTCCCCGTTCCCCTGCACTCCCCGTGCCCCTGCACTCCCCGTGCCCCTGCACTCCCCGTGCCCCTGCACTCCCCGTGCCCCTGCACTCCCCGTTCCCCTGCACTCCCCGTTCCCCTGCACTCCCCGTGCCCCTGCACTCCCCGTGCCCCTGCACTCCCCGTGCCCCTGCACTCCCCGTGCCCCTGCACTCCCCGTGCCCCTGCACTCCCCGTTCCCCTGCACTCCCCGTTCCCCTGCACTCCCCGTTCCCCTGCACTCCCCGTTCCCCTGCACTCCCCGTGCCCCTGCACTCCCCGTTCCCCTGCACTCCCCGTTCCCCTGCACTCCCCGTTCCCCTGCACTCCCCGTGCCCCTGCACTCCCCGTGCCCCTGCACTCCCCGTGCCCCTGCACTCCCCGTTCCCCTGCACTCCCCGTGCCCCTGCACTCCCCGTGCCCCTGCACTCCCCGTGCCCCTGCACTCCCCGTTCCCCTGCACTCCCCGTGCCCCTGCACTCCCCGTTCCCCTGCACTCCCCGTTCCCCTGCACTCCCCGTTCCCCTGCACTCCCCGTTCCCCTGCACTCCCCGTGCCCCTGCACTCCCCGTTCCCCTGCACTCCCCGTTCCCCTGCACTCCCCGTTCCCCTGCACTCCCCGTTCCCCTGCACTCCCCGTTCCCCTGCACTCCCCGTTCCCCTGCACTCCCCGTTCCCCTGCACTCCCCGTTCCCCTGCACTCCCCGTGCCCCTGCACTCCCCGTTCCCCTGCACTCCCCGTTCCCCTGCACTCCCCGTTCCCCTGCACTCCCCGTGCCCCTGCACTCCCCGTGCCCCTGCACTCCCCGTGCCCCTGCACTCCCCGTTCCCCTGCACTCCCCGTTCCCCTGCACTCCCCGTGCCCCTGCACTCCCCGTTCCCCTGCACTCCCCGTGCCCCTGCACTCCCCGTTCCCCTGCACTCCCCGTGCCCCTGCACTCCCCGTTCCCCTGCACTCCCCGTGCCCCTGCACTCCCCGTTCCCCTGCACTCCCCGTTCCCCTGCACTCCCCGTTCCCCTGCACTCCCCGTGCCCCTGCACTCCCCGTTCCCCTGCACTCCCCGTTCCCCTGCACTCCCCGTGCCCCTGCACTCCCCGTTCCCCTGCACTCCCCGTTCCCCTGCACTCCCCGTTCCCCTGCACTCCCCGTGCCCCTGCACTCCCCGTTACCCTGCACTCCCCGTTCCCCTGCACTCCCCGTTCCCCTGCACTCCCCGTGCCCCTGCACTCCCCGTGCCCCTGCACTCCCCGTTCCCCTGCACTCCCCGTGCCCCTGCACTCCCCGTTCCCCTGCACTCCCCGTGCCCCTGCACTCCCCGTTCCCCTGCACTCCCCGTTCCCCTGCACTCCCCGTTCCCCTGCACTCCCCGTGCCCCTGCACTCCCCGTTCCCCTGCACTCCCCGTTCCCCTGCACTCCCCGTGCCCCTGCACTCCCCGTTCCCCTGCACTCCCCGTTCCCCTGCACTCCCCGTTCCCCTGCACTCCCCGTGCCCCTGCACTCCCCGTTCCCCTGCACTCCCCGTTCCCCTGCACTCCCCGTTCCCCTGCACTCCCCGTTCCCCTGCACTCCCCGTTCCCCTGCACTCCCCGTGCCCCTGCACTCCCCGTTCCCCTGCACTCCCCGTTCCCCTGCACTCCCCGTTCCCCTGCACTCCCCGTTCCCCTGCACTCCCCGTTCCCCTGCACTCCCCGTTCCCCTGCACTCCCCGTTCCCCTGCACTCCCCGTGCCCCTGCACTCCCCGTTCCCCTGCACTCCCCGTTCCCCTGCACTCCCCGTGCCCCTGCACTCCCCGTTCCCCTGCACTCCCCGTGCCCCTGCACTCCCCGTTCCCCTGCACTCCCCGTTCCCCTGCACTCCCCGTTCCCCTGCACTCTCCGTGCCCCTGCACTCCCCGTTCCCCTGCACTCCCCGTTCCCCTGCACTCCCCGTGCCCCTGCACTCCCCGTTCCCCTGCACTCCCCGTGCCCCTGCACTCCCCGTTCCCCTGCACTCCCCGTTCCCCTGCACTCCCCGTTCCCCTGCACTCCCCGTTCCCCTGCACTCCCCGTTCCCCTGCACTCCCCGTTCCCCTGCACTCCCCGTTCCCCTGCACTCCCCGTTCCCCTGCACTCCCCGTTCCCCTGCACTCCCCGTTCCCCTGCACTCCCCGTTCCCCTGCACTCCCCGTTCCCCTGCACTCCCCGTTCCCCTGCACTCCCCGTTCCCCTGCACTCCCCGTTCCCCTGCACTCCCCGTTCCCCTGCACTCCCCGTTCCCCTGCACTCCCCGTTCCCCTGCACTCCCCGTTCCCCTGCACTCCCCGTTCCCCTGCACTCCCCGTTCCCCTGCACTCCCCGTTCCCCTGCACTCCCCGTGCCCCTGCACTCCCCGTTCCCCTGCACTCCCCGTTCCCCTGCACTCCCCGTTCCCCTGCACTCCCCGTGCCCCTGCACTCCCCGTTCCCCTGCACTCCCCGTTCCCCTGCACTCCCCGTTCCCCTGCACTCCCCGTTCCCCTGAATACCCACTACCCAATCCTGCAACTCACCTGTCTCTGTCAATCCCTTCCACTCCAGACAGCACGAATGCCATGAGCGCCATGCGGTGCATCTGGTCTCCGATCGACTTTGGCCCCCTGCATTCGCCATCTCTCTTCCAGTCATCCCACCCCATGCACTCTCACCTCTCTCTGTCGATCCCTTCCACTCCACTCAACACAAACGCCATGAGCGCCATGCGGTGCATGTGGTCGCCTGTCTCTCCGCATGCCCCATCCTTCTCACTCACTCCATCCCCATAAACACAACCCTTCTCTCTCTCTCACTCACCTCTCTCTGTCGATTCCTTCCACTCCACTCAACACAATCGCCATCAGCGCCATGCGGTGGATGTGGTCTCCGACTCTCATTGTTCCCCAACCCCCGTCACCCTCCCACCCACCTCTCCCTGTCAATCCCCTCAACATCAGACAACATAAACGCCATGAGAGCCATGCGGTGCACGTGGTCGTCTATCGACTCTGGGCCCTGCCATCCTTCCCAGTCACTGCATTCCCACTACCCAACCCCTGTGACTCACCTCTCTCTATTGATCCCCTCCACTCCACTCAACACGAACGCCATCAGAGCCATGCGATGCATGTGGTCGCCTATCGACTCTGCGCCCTGCACTCCCCGCTTCACCCACCCCGTGCGCTTTAGAGTCTGAATTTCAAGGTTTTGGGTTCAGGGTACAGGGTTTCAAGGGGGAATAGGGATGGAGGGAGGGGAAGAGAGGGAAGGGGTGTAAGTAAGTGACTCTGGCCCCTGCACTCCCCACTTCACCCACCCCGTGCGCTTCAGAGTCTGAGATTAAGGGTTCAGGTTTAAGGTACAGGGTATCAGGGGGGATAGGGAGGGAGGGGGGATGGGGAGTGGGGGCAGGGAAGTGGGTGAGGGGTGAGAAAAGGGGGTTTCATGTGAATCTCTAGCACGATTGCAACACCAATATTGCCACCAGCGCCATACAGCCATGCAGTGCATGTGATCGCGCATCTTAATTAGGTGCCTAAAAACATTTCTCTAAAACTCGCGCAAACCGTCCCGTGATCGCGCCGCGAGGCACGCGAAACGCGCAGGGCTACGCGCTCATTTAGTGCTCAGGTCGCGATCGCGGACATCTCAATACGGATAACAAGCAATAGCCCATTCGAACATGATTCTGAGATTTCTTAAATTTCACACACACAGTGTGATACGCTGATAAGGCGAATCGGACCTCTGGACCGTCGGATCGTCGGACCTTTAGCGGCTGGATCATCATCAGAAAATCGACGGCTGACGATGCTTACCTGGGCGGGATCAATCGGTGATCAAGAAGGCCGATGGCCTAGGGGCGGGCCCGCCATTGCACTTCGGCCGGCCCTGCCCCTAGCACGCGTTCGCGCGGCCCCTACAAAAGCAAAACTCGAAAATGGAAGCAAAACTCGAAAATGGGATGATGGATATGAGAGCGTGTTCCTACGGTCCAACGTCATATCAATCATAGAATTTCGCATACACTACGTTATAAAATAGCTCGTATTAGTTTTAGGACCTAAACAGCGCACCAATGATATCGCTCGCACAGATTCGCCCCAACGTGGAATGTCCCATGTGCACGGTTTCGTTACGTCGCATTGGTGCGCTGCGCAAAACCGTGCAGACTTTGCAACATCAAGGAACGTGACACCACTAGGCGCCACGTCGCAAAGACAACACCCCCGCACGTTTAACGATTCCCAGACACACTCACGATTGTAACGGTCGAACCAACTCCACTCCTCGTTAACCCATTCCGTGCTTACAAATCTAGGCCAATGGATTTGTATCTTTCCCTTCTACGTTACGGTAGAGCTACTATCATGGCCCGGAAGCGCAAATCACAAGCAACGGAAGAAGAACCATGGCGACCAGAAGATCTAGCGTATGTCAAGTGGATGACGGCGGAGCTGGCTGCAGGAAGGCCTACTGCTAGACCTATTCGCAACGTTGGACATACGCCCGCGCAGTCTACAGCAGGGCCTCAGATTCACTTTTAGGGTCGTATACCCTTCAGGGTCCCCTTGTGTGTAAACTCTGATTGACAGTGTTCCTAAAAAAAAAAGCCTGAAATGACAGTGTTGTGCTAAAAAAAAGACTGATCCATCAGGGTTTTACTAGTAAAAAAGCTGAAACTATTATAAAGTCTTGATTTAAAATTCAGGAGTACAGTAGCTTCCTAGAAAATAGCAGATGCTCTTATCTAATAGGAGTCATGCATGTATCAGCATCGGAATCAGACTCATCATCACTCCCCTGCGCCTTTGGTTCTTCCCACTCCTCGAGTGCCTCCTTTCCCCTGCCACTTCCCTCCCCCTCTCTTGCTGGAGGTGCTGCCACATTGCCAAATGGCCGGCGCTTCTTGTAGCTGCGCCAGATTTTCACCAGTTCGTTGTAGTCAGGCTCGTAGTCGAGGAGCGACATCGTGACGAGATCTTCAAGCCGAGTGTCTTTGAGGCTCCCACGCTGCCACGATTTGATGATATTCTGGCAGGAAAATCCGCGCTCACATTCCACTGTGCTCAGCACTGTGACAGCCACCCATAGACGCACGAGGTTGGGGTAGCTAGTCGTCCAATCGCTTGTCTTCAGCATTGCTGTTAGCCCGGCGTAGAAGCTTCGCTCGTTATTCGGGGCACCTGCGAGGATGGGGCAGAAGGCACGCAGTTCTTTCATCGCCCGCAGTTTGTCGATCCCTGCCACACAAAACAGAAGGGAGATTGTCAGTTAGATTGGGTGGCTTGGCATGGTATACCCGTGTATGCATGGCACTGTTAAAACATAGGAACAAAGAGAATCATGGACAACAAGGGTGCACAAAATGCGAGTACCTGGAAGGATGTGGTCAGTCTCCTGTGCCCTGAACAGCGAGACGAGTGACATGAGCCACTCGACACACTGTTTGTGGCGCTCCGCTCTCCCAGGCGGGTACTCGTCTGGCATGAAGAGCCTCACTCCCACCAGGTTGTCCAAGTCTTCAAACCTCTTGCTGAGGTTTTTGACGAGCGTCTCGGCAAATGATGTGCAGAGATCGACGCAGGCGTCGTGTGTTCCCAGAGTTGGGTAGTCCTCGCTTGGGTTCTCATGCAGTTGGAATTTGTGTGTAGTCGGCCGACCGTCAGAGTCCACACCCTGCACCGTCACCTCGGGCTTGTCACTGTCAGGCCCGTACTTCAAGATGAACGGGGACAGGCGCGTACTCAACCCGCCTCCAAAATCGTCGCCGCAGTCGACGTAGCGGGTCTCCAGGTGAGACATGGTTCTCCTGATCTGCGCATGGACACCTGCGATGTCAAGCTATGAGAGGGCGACAGAAATAACACGGAGGGACACAAGGAAAGCGAGCCGGGGGGGTGATTTATCAAACAATATGTGTTGTGCTTAAGCTCCCACAATATAAATGCATTGACATACACGCAAAGAAGTCACGCATACAAGAACTAGACATCATGAGAAGTGCAGCACACGCTGAAAGGACTTGTTGCTCACCTCTCGCTGTTGGAAGGACTTGTTCAAGATGTTCAGCTGCTCGAGCACGTCTGCAAGGAAGAACAACAAGAAATGGAACCTGTAGCTGGTGGCGAGCTGGTACAGAGTTTCGTCCCACTCAGACAGCATGACGATGAGCGCAGGGAAGACCGTCACCGTTCGCAGAACGGCATCACCCCTGGAGAGCCAGCGGACTTGATGAATGCCTTGAAGCTCCAGATTCGTAGCCGTGAAGAGTTCCTGCACCTCCAAAAATCGTTGGTGCCAGGGGCTGGAACGGCCGAGATACTCTGCGACTTGACGGATCAGCCCGTCCACCATGTCGAACTCGGGGATTGCATCCGCTGCATCTTTTGCCGCGAGGGCCTCCCTGCAGGCACATCACAACACAAACATGCAACACGGGGTATCAGCAAGGCCGAGATACGGATAATCTGGATTGGCGCTAGTACAAAAGCGAACGTACCTGTGGGCTATGCAGTGGCTTGAGACGAGATGCGGTATGCGGACGCGCAGTCGAGCGACAAGACCATTCTTGCTTCCCATCATCACACTCGCGCCATCGGTGCTCATACCAGCAATCTTGGCAAGCTCGATGCCGAGGGCCTGCAGGTGGGACACAAACACGTAGAGTAGAGAGGCGGCGTCGCACTTCTCCACGGTCAGAAGGGCAAGGAACTCGGTGACGACGCGATTCTCCCGGATGAAGGTCACGAAAATGATCATGTGCTTTCCCCGGCACCTGTCCGTGCTCTCGTCACATGTAATTCCGATGTAAGGACTTGTAAGGAGGTGCTGGAGTTGCGTTGTGTGCAACCACGTGGCAATCGCTTGTGTTAGTTGCCCAAAGCCGTACCTGTGGAGCATGTGAGCCAATGTTAGTGCTTACACAAAAGGTAAACAAAAGCAACATCACGAACAATATCTGACAGCGGGTACTCACGTTGTGTAATAGGTTCCGTATCCCTTCGCGGGGAATCCCGGAACCTTCTTCGCCGCGAGATAGCGAACAAGATGCACCCATAACTCAATGGGTGCATCTTGCTTGGTTACGAAGAGCAGAGAGTCGCACAGCGCGATGACGCGTTCCTTCTCGGTGTCGCGAGCGAGGTTGTCACCGTTGATCCGTGGCTGCCGGCCAGCTTCAGCAAGAAGCTTTTCCTGGTGCTTGACCGCCTGCGTCTGTACGTCCGACGCGCCCCTCCCGCCCTTCCCGCACTTTCCAGAGTAACCTGCATGCTCGGTACAGATAGAGCACTTGAGAGTTGGGAGACCGTCAGATTGCCGCAAAAGAATGAGCCACGGAAACCTGTCTAGCCACTCAGTCTTGTACTTATACAGAGACTCGGCGTAAATCGCGTCGCGTTCTGACTGCTTAGAAGGACCAGGAACCGATGGCGACTCTTGTGGGCCGGCAATCACGGGCGACGACCGTTGGTCGGCTGGCGAAGGCGGGGTAGCTCCGTCGTCAGCGCCCTTTGTAAACCATGGCAGCGTTGACTGCATGTATCGGCTGGATTTCTTGGTCACGGGTTCGGGAGCCAGTTTTTCAGCTGGAGGCGGCGAGCTGTCCTGCTCCGTGACTGGCGCTGTCGGGGATGCACACCAACCCTCCTCATCGATGTGTTCGAACGGGATTTTGTCGGGCGGCTCGGGATCTGGTGGCTTTTCGTTGTCGTTGACTTCCGCTATGCTCGA